AAAGTGTCAACTCAGCGTTTTTGTAATCGCTATTACTCATTTACAAAAAATTAATTTTGAAAAAAACGGCAGACATGTAGAGTGTCGATGACTCTATCCTGGAAAAAAAGATGAGCTCAAAGGAATATCGTGGAGCCAATATATCAATATTTTTCTCAAAAAGTACTGGAATTAGTGATCGAATTAGGACCAGGCACTCTAGATGAAAATACTTTATTAGAGATTACTGAAGAAAGTGTTAATCATTCAGTTTTGTGAGCGAGTGCATCAGTTCAAACTGATCAAAGATATTTTCCCATATTATTCATACTATCTTGTAAAGAAACTCAAGACGCATTTTTCAGAAACATAGACAGGTTTACGACTTGAAATGATAATGAACATGTGATCAAGACACGAACTCACTCGTTAGTGTTGATGCTAATGCAATAGGTAAATGCGTTGTGTAAGAAAAAAAATGACAAGTATCATCGTGTTTTCTTTGTTTCCAAATAATTCCAGAACAATCATGGTTGTTTGTCCATCAGAAAAAAGAACACTCACTTTCGCCTAAATATCATATCTCACCTTGAGAGTGCTTGATTGTTAGGTGTCGAAAAGGAAAATATCAAGACGTAAACGGTAAAAAATCAAAGTCGTAACTGATCACCGGTCCTCTCTTCATTCTTACACTTTCAAGTAAACTTTCTTAGGTTTGCTTGACTTTCTCCGATATCTAGACTGCTTATCTTTTTTACTTGGTTGTCTTCAAAGTATTGTTTCACATAATTTTATTTACATTCACTATTTAAAATAATGATACTAAATCGGAACTCGCATGTTTATTGACACCCTTGTATTTTTCATGACGAAATCTCTTGTTATATCAATATGATCCCTCTGATCAGCATCTTGAAAACATTATATTCTCATGGAAAGAATTGAAATAATTGTAACTGCTGAACATATTGACAAGAAACATCTCTTTGAATTCATGTGTTATTAAACATGTTATCTACAAAAGACTTAGAGCATAAGTGATGAACTCGTCAAATCATTGAACACGACCAGTTTCAATATCTTCTGCAGGAAAGCATTAGAAAATTTTAATTCTAGCACAACTTTTGTTCTATTCGTCAAGATCTATCTACTTCGAATGTTTCAATTTTTTTCTGATAAATTCAATTCGTTCGAATTGTTGAATAATTATTCGCATTTTTTATCTCGATAAACTTTTGAAACATCATGTAGAAATACAAAAATAAATTTACATATAGTTTAATACTTTTAACATAGAGATTTTCTTCTTTGAAACACTATCTGAAAGGAGCGTTGAAGTATATAGAGTAGAAATTTGTTCCCACCTTCCCCTCCACCTCCCACAGACCGTAACAGACACCCTTTATGGATCGTCGTAAGAACAGGCATATCGTGTTTCACATTTTAATCCTGCAGGAATTGCGCTAACATCTTTTATAGATATAATGCATATTTACAACAGAATAAGAATGCAAACAAAAAGCAGGGCATCTGTAAAAAGAAGAAAAAATTTCTATTCGAAATGCAGAAAATAAGACAGATCCTTATTCTGATGATCGATTAACTTGGAAAACAACTATAGTTTACGAGAGATTTTTCACTTTACGTATTTTGTATCAGTTTAGTCACATTAAAGAACATGCACGAGTTTCACATATAAATCCCAAATGGGCTGCGCTAACAAGCTTTTTTCCAAATATATTTAAAACAATTTTTGCTTCCAATCATATATGATTTTGTATAGAATTTCAAGCGCCATCTTTTGATAAAAAACTATGTCCCGATCAGATGTAGAATAAGCATATGCATTTCACAAAACAAACATAGTAACTCTTCTTTTTTCTTCTATTCTTATCTTTTGACTCATGTGGGTTTTTTCCCAGTCGTTATATTTTCTTGTATTAGACGTTGTACTCGTCCACATAACAGTGTGCTTATTGATTATACTACGTAGGTAGGAAATAATATTTTTATAGAAATACCTCAAATGATTTAAAATTAAGTAAACCATCAATTTTATATCAAATGAGAGCTCATCACAAACGGAAGCTATTAGTATTAAACAATAAGAGTTACGAAGACTTTCGTATGTCGAACTCTCGAAATTAGCTGTATTTTACCGATTATAGGTATAAGTAAAATTATATATGACATAAAGTTCGAACTAAATGTGATACAAAATTAACATTATAGTTTTTCATCATTTAATGAATGCAACCAATGATCAGTATGACGACCGCTAGCACTCTATACTGCACGAAGTCGACATGAATACGAACACAAAAAATTTTTCAATAGCTTAACATTTGAAATTCGCATTTTAAGCATTTCTTCAAGATAACAATTACGTCCAGGTTCCGATAATATTTCTTTCAACATCATCTTTGATTATTATTGCAATATGTTCTACCGTATCGTGGTTTGATAAATTTCCAGGATACATATCATTACCCCAAAACTTAACGTTGTTGTCTTGAAGCAAATGCTAAGTTATATTTGTTTGAATACACTGTGATTTATCATGGACAAATATAACTTCATCGAAGTCTATAATACTGTCTTCATTTTTTAAGAAAGTAAATACATATTGAATCAAAATCGGCTATTCTGATAATTGATCTGTGAATGACTCATACATAGAATTCATTAGATCGTGTATGATGAAGGAAGTTCTTTTATGACCAATATTTCAACCAATCGCACAGTCATAATTCATCATAATTTTTCTCATACCTATAGTCGATAAAATATTACAAATTTCAAGAGTTCGATACACAAAAACTTTCATAACCCTTAATGTTTAATAATAATAAATTTCGTTTTCGACGAGTTTTCATTTGATATAAAATTTATTGTTTACTCAATTTGAAATTATCGTAGCAACCGTTCGAAAAAATATTATTTCCTACCTAGCACAGCGATCTTTGTACGAGTAGCAGATAGTTGTTATACAGCAGCTTCAACGTAAGATTGAAAGACTTAAAGTCAACGAACATAAAGTCCAGGTATGATTGTATAAAGGTGAGAAAAAAAAGATTTGATACTAAGACCGTCTATCTCCATATGTGGTTTTTTAGGGATAGTGTTTATCTGGCTTGGTATAGAATAAATGAAAACCGACTACGGAGTATTTATCCTCATGTCGGATCATACTAGTTAGAATCTTGCATCGAGTTTATTGTTGTATTTAACTAAACAACCGACAGAAATTTTATAACATAAAACTGAATCCTTTACATAATGCGGGATTGATCGAGAAGTTGTTGAATTTCCGAATGGCTCATTTACATAACAAAAATATGTTATGGTTTGAATTCTGTGTAAAAAATAATAAAAAGAAATAGAATTTCGAGTTAGGTTGAAACCCAATCAGGCGTTGTTTTTTAATTTTTTTCATCTCTTATTATATAAAATAATTATCTTTCTGCAAACAAAGCATATAATTTGAAAACACTAAATCTTCTTTATAGAATCATATATTTAAAAAAACCAGTTTGATCTTGCTATAAAGTTTTATTTAGTGTTTATTTCGACTCGAGAAAAAAACTCGATGCAGAATTCTATTGTTTACTACAGTTATCTACATAAATGAAACATTCCTCTTCTTATTCTATGCTCACCATGACTTCATATTTTGTCAGATCAAACCTTTTTACAATGTTACCTCTACTATACACATCCACTTATACAAATTTCTTTCTCCTTATGCAGCATTCTTTATTTGATGTCTATAATTTCACACCTCGTATTTAAAAGTCTACCATATATTTCTCGTTCTATACCTCCGACTCTGTTTTCTGGTCGTATCTATGATTCTAACTCAAACCTAAATTAATAAATCCATGTTTCTCTATTATTTATAATTCTATCGCCTTACTTTCACTTTGTATTCATGTGCTATGTCTTTTCTTACAAAACAACTACCCGAGTTAAAATATCACTTTGCCCTTTGAACAAACATAAGTCTATGTCATCCATCGGGCTCATTCTGAATATCAGCATTCTAATAGTGATTCATTCTTTGTAATTCCTGTAGCATTATTATCAGTCTCTTATCTGCTAAAGTATGTTTCATCAAAATGCAGTTTCTAAATCATATACTTGATCGAAATTAACCAAAAAACTCCAGCATACTTTTGGCAGAAATAATTAATTTCAGTGCGTCTGAGCTTATTGAGATAAGAAAAACGGAATACAAAAATGAAAAGCAACAAAGCAAACAAAACATAGTGTCAGTAAAAAAAAAAGAAAAAATTTTTATTTGAAATACAGAAATAAATGTGACAGCTCATTTCTCTAGTGGTTGATTATCCTTGAAAACAACTGTAGTCTGCTAGAGATTTTTCGCTTAACTTATTTTGTATTAATATAATGAGACTAAAGAACATATGTGAGTTCCACATTTTTTTGTCACTTCAGATTTACCTCGTAAAATACTGCAAATGGCAACCGAACTTCGTCGTAGAGTAATAACTTCTACAACCCCAGAAGATAATGGGTCACTAATTCCACCGCAAGACTTTGGCCATGCTTTTCACATGATTGAAAATGGAGTCAGAGAGACAGTACAATTAACAACTGCTGTTCTTCTGGAATTTCAAGGTTCAGTGAAAATCATATTGCCACTATTAAGTACTGAACATCAGAAGTAAATTTATGAAACATTCAACGACTATCATAAATTGTTGATGACAAATCAAAGATTTTTAACAAGATCATTGATATTAGCTGCTCGAGCTCAAACATCAAAGGAATTAATGGAATCAATCAATATCAAAATAATAGATGAAATGATTGAAACTGTCCAAGAATTATTAAAAAAATTTCTCGAACTCAACCCAATCCTCGAAGAAAAGCTAAAAGATCAACGAGCGCTGAAACTATGGAGAAATATTTTTGGTATGATAGCAGGTATTGGTATCGCTGCTTGCGGAGTCGGCCTTGGAGCTGGCTTTGTCGCTGCTTCCGGGTTTACAACAGCCTTGCAAGTATATTTGATTGCAGCAGGATCAGTAACTGTTGCATCATCAGCTGCAACAGGTGTATGTCATGTGGCACAACATCTATCAGAACTAGATCTGATTATGAAGAATTTGAAAGAAATTCGCAAAGGATTAATACAACTTAGTCAAAACTATCCAAAAATGAAAGAAACGATTTTACTATTATCAGATTCAGACACAACAAAACAAGATTTCATTAAACTTTTGAAAGAAACACAAACAATAGTTAATCAAGGTTTTGAACTTCTAAAAGAATTGTAAAACTTTTTTTTCCGTATTTGAAATCTTGATATAAATATATCTTATGCGTTCGCTATTTAATTAAATATTTATTTTGTATCATCTTGTTTTCCGTATGCTATTCACCAATCAATCATATTTTTTTTTCCATAGATTATTTTTTTCTCACAATCTAATATATATTTATTATCAAATCTTATTTGATTATATTTTATGATGTTTTCTAAAAATAAATACTTGTCACGAGAAAATTTAAACAACATCATGCAATTTCTTAATATAGAATAATTTAAGTGCTTTCATTTTAAATACATGCAATCATTCAAAAGTCGACATCATATACATATATAGACTCGTATTCATATTTAATTTGAAGAAATTTATTTGAATATTTTTTGGCAGTGAATATATTTATATGTATACAGTTAAGCAAAAAAATTTCAATTTTTATGTCATATTATTGATTATTCAAAAATTAGAAATTTTATAGCTAAAACATCAAAATTTGTCAGATGTTTTTGCAAATTCAAATGATTCATTAGAGAATAAAAAAATAGACATCAATAAAAAATTCTCATAATATAAATAATGAAAAAGTAATTACGCATATCGATGAATAAGCGGAGATCTTTCAATTCTAATCTCTAGTTGAACATGTTTTTCGAAGTTTAACTGAAAATCAATTAATATACATTTAACATTTTAAAATGGCAATAACTGTGAAAAATATCAATCTAGTTATAAAATAGATTATAATAATACATTTTCTGAAATAAAATGTTTTTGATGAAGTACATAATATTAATTGATTAATATTATTATAGATTGATAGAGAAAAAAACAGTGTTTATTTCCATGTTGCTTAAATTACAACAGAATTGATCGATTGTCGTTGATTGATTTTTTATTGAAGATCAATTTGTTATCATATTCAACTGTTTCAACAGATGTCACTCTTATACATAATATTATTAATCATATGTATATATATATATATATATTTGATTTTATTTGTTGATTAGACAATAATCTATGAGTATTTATGGATGTTTATTCTTGTATTTGATATCTTTATGAATTTCTAGACATATTCTTATTCTAATTTGTTTGGTGCTTATAAATCATCTAATCATAATGAATTTTTTGTCTCTCTCTCTCTCTCTCTCTCTTTCTTTATTTTTTTCTTCAACAACTCCTCCTCCTCCTCCATGCGGGTCTGTTTGCTATCTGTTGCTTCGACAATGATTATTTTATTCTTTTGTTAACTTTTGTTTTATTTTAAATTACGCAATTCTATTTTCAGTATGACGAAATAACAATGTCGATGTTTTTTTTTGTTTTGTTTTATTTTAGACAAACATTATTTAGTGTACGAGTGAGAAGGTATAATAAAATGCTGGCAAGTATACGTCGGTTCTTTAAATTTATCCATTGGCTTTATTTACAATATTTACTTAATACAGCATTATATATGCTTGAGCCATGGGAACGTGCACTATTCTCGACGTTATTAGTTGTTATAATATCGACTGCTATTTATTCAGCATTGGTTTTTCTTCCTCATCATGTTCGTTCACTGATACAATTTTATTCATAATCAATAATAATGAAAAAAAAAAGAATGTATCGTAAACATTTGATTGTTTTTGTTGTTCTTTCTTTTTTTTTTTTTTTAAATGAATGTCAAATCGATTTTAAATGACTCGTTTGTCTGTAGTTTTATGACTCGATGAGATTGAAATAAAAAAAAACAACAAACAAATGAACAAGAAAATATTTTTCTTTTTTTTGTCTTATTTCCATATTCAAAAAAAAAAACAGAAATAATAAAACATACGTAAATATTTTTGAAATTTTGTATAAGGATTAAAGATATGATTTTGACATTACCTGTGATTTTGAGAATTGTAAAATAAATATATATATATATTGGAGTACTATTAACTACTCACCCATATATATATTTATATATGACGTTTATTTTGTCTCTTCTTTTTTTTATTTCTCTAAATTGTAAGAAATGGCTTATTAATGATTTGTTATATGCGCGCGTGACTGACTTTTTTCTCTTGTCGTTGTTAAACATGTGTGAATGATATCTTTTCTTTCCTTTCATACCTTTTTTTTTTTGATATACCTTCGCTGATATATGTATAGATTAATTATTCATATAGAATCCTAACCTAGTTACGTATATAGATTTATTATCAATCGTATGTCTACGCTCGATTTTAACGTTCATAGTTATTATTTCTTTTTTTTTTCTTCTTCTTTACGTTAAATACTCGGTCATATTACCTATATTTCTTAGTGTACTCTTCTTTTTCCTATTTTATAACGACGATCAAGCTTCTTGCAATTTCCCACTTCACACGTACAAAACGTTTTTTCTTTCTACATCACTATTTGCTTGCTTTGTTTCTCTCATATATTTTTCATTATTTCGTCTTCATTTTACCTCAAATATATATACGCATAATCTATATATACATTACCTGAGTATAAGGGCACATTACGATAGAATAAAATAGTTCATTGGCCATCGCCGATGAGTATCACAACGCGTACATCATATTTGGACTCAATGACAACGACGAACAATAACGACATATCAGTAATATATAATATGGTATGTATAGATTGAAGTTCAAAAATTAACTAATTTATTTTGCTTTATTCAAAAAAAAAAACCTATCAATTAAACTTTTATTTTATATATATTTTTTTCTTTTGCATATAGTATAAAACCAAACAACAACGACAATCTGCTTGGTATTATCCATTATTAGAAGTAATTCAAAGTTATTATATGCAATTTTTATTAGCAAGCACACTTTATGTTATGGAACCATGGGAACGAATTCTTGTACTAAGCATATTTTTTCTTATTATTTCACTGGTTACTTATTCAGCATTTATTTACATTCCATTTCATATTCATAATATTTTACAAGCAACTACTCCAATCATAACGGATATATTTAAGCATTAATTATTCGTATTAAAAAAAAAACTAAAACTTTTTCAATTATATACATGACTTCTATTTACTATATTTTAATTTTTTTTTCTTTTCAATATTTGATCTTTTTTCTTTTTTTGTTTATTCTTAATATTGTATTGATAAAGTATAAAATATGTTTTGTTGAAGAGAAAAGACAAAAAAAAAAAAAAAAAGACAATAGATATCGTCTCTCGAGATACGGTCAAAGTAAATCATCAAATATTCTCATATGGTTTTTTTATGATTGATAAATATTTAAATAATTATTTACAAATATCAATAAAATTTAATTTCTAGATTTTAACGTATTTTTTTAAATAAATTTTACTTCTAATTATGGATATTGATTTCGAACCGTTATCATCAATAGCCGGTATGTCAAGTTTAGATGAAGATCTAATGGAAAGATTACGTTCAATAACAACTTGTAATCGTGAAGATTTAATTGCACAATTTCGTTCGACAACAAATGCTATGTTAACAGATGATGGTTGTAGATTTTTTCTTGACATGAGTAATTGGTAAATATGATAAATATAAATTTTATTTTATATTGATTGTTTTTTTTTTTTTTGTATTTTATAGGAATTTAAATGAAGCTATACTTGCTTATTATGATGCTGAAATGCCAACAGATAAAATTCCTCAAATGCGATTTATTGCTGATGTTACTGTTGGAGAAGGTGAAGCTATTCCACCTAATACACGATTTATTAAAACTTGGCGAGTTGAAAATTCTGGTAAAATGTCTTTTCTTTTCTTTTTTTTTCTAATGTGAAATATATGAAAGTTATTTGATATTCTTTAAGGTAATGAACGATGGCCAAATAATTGTTCATTACGTTTTGTTAATGGTGATCGTTTACAAGATCAAGATGAAATCTATGTTAATTCATTAGCACCTGGTGAACAAACAAATATTTCAGTTAATATAACAAGTTCAAATGTATTACGTATAATTAGATCACAATGGCGATTATTTACATCAGCTGGTGTACCATTCGGAGGTAGATAAATATTTAAAATTTTCTCATTTTCCAAATGATTCGAAATAGATTTTTTTTTCTTAAAGCTCAATGTGCATTTTTTCACATGGCAAGTAGATATGTAATTTTCTTGCTTAGAAATGATTGGATATAGTGCACAAATTTTAGAAAAGTTTGGAGATGGGATGTAGATAGATTGTTCATTTTATGGGATTAATCGTTCGGACGACATTGTAGAAAAAAAAATATTCTTTTTATCAGATATGAACTTTTCCCAATGACATGATGATTTTCAGACTAATTTTCTTGGGCAACTGATTTTTCAGTTTCTTTGGTGGTTGTAACAAAGTTATTTATATCAATATATTTCTCTATATTTAAATTTTGAAAAAGCGCGATTTTCATTTTTTGTCAAATATCTACCTAGATGTACACTGTGCTCCGCCTCGTCCTTCAAGGACAGAATTTCTATGATGTGACATGCTGAAATTTTGTACACATAATAAGAGATGCCTAATTACGTAGACAAAAACAAATGTCAGCTTCGTATCTTATTACTTGTTGTAGTGATAACAATTTTGGTGCTGAGACAATTCGCCGTATGACATTTTAGTCTTAGGAACGTCAAAAGTAGCTGTGTGGATGTCGCTGTCGGTGGAGGATACATGGACGATCCTCACTTACATTCCTAAAAAAGATTATTATAATAGTGATCACAAGTTAAACAAGGTTACACAATTTTAATGTTTAATAAAACAATATGAGAGATAAGTTGAATGTGCTTGTGAGTAATACAACTTTTGTTGAAGACTATCATTTATTAACATAAGCTTTCACGAGTAAAATGTTCGCTGATTAACATCAAAGAGTCATATCGGTTACTATTCTTAGTTGTACAGTTAACACGATTCTCACAATAAAGACAACTGATTATCATCAGTTGCATCATGCAAAACTCATTTAAGAAATTTTGATGAAAAAAACAAAATCAGAATAAAATTGATTTAAATGAAGCTAGTTAATTCTAATTTTTGCGTTTTAAAGTTAAGTTTCAATTGAGCAGCAATGTGTGATTTGATATTTGATATATCTGATAATGTCTGTAAACTGAATTGTTATACTAAACTCTGACAAAAGATTTTAAGACATTTATTCAGAATGATCGACTTATGAGTTGCTTTTTGTTTTGTAGTGAGAATCAAGTTTCTTTGTGTTTTTTTTCTAGGGAAAAGAAATCTCAAAATCATATTGATTCTTAACATACGAACATCGAACTATTCGGTTATATATTTCATTTTTCTGAGAGAATTCGATGTTTTTGAAGGGGGGAGAGAGAGGCGTATTAAAATTCGGTACTTTTCTGTATGATCTAAAAGTAATTGGATGAAGAAAATTCGCATTTTTTGCAGTAATAGGCTCTTCTATTGTATATGTTATATTAGAGACGAGATTGATCACTACAAAATTAAAATATAAAAATCAAGAGTTTTAGAACAATCATTCGGGAATGGCTGAACTACTTAAATTGATGCGGTGTTTCTTATCCGAAATGCTTACTGTTTGACTTGGAGCAAACTAATCATTAGTATATCATTTTACAGAGAAATATTAGCTCAACCGTAATTTATGGGTCTCTAAAAGATTCGGTTCATAACTTCTAAATTAAGAGACTGAAAAGTGAATGAATATTTTGTTTAATTACTTTTCGATCATCTATTACATATGATAGATTATATTATTTGATTGTTTCTATTTGTTTTAAGATCCTATTTGGTTAATTGCCAGTGTTGAAGAAGGAGGAATAATGGGTATTACACAACAACTTGAACAATGTCATTCACTTGGTATGAATATTAATTATCCATCATATATCAATAATTCAATGAGTATACAATCATCGTCTCTAAATCCATTGCAATCTACTCGATGTAAGTTAATATATATATATATATATACTAGCGGAGATACCCGGCGTTGCCCGGGAAATTTGATAGTACATCCTTGACACAGTAGAAGGTTTAAAAAAATCTATCTGTACTGAAAAACAGTTTTATCACTAATCCGGCACCACTGTGAGTCAGGAAAAAGAACTGATGCGTCATCGTTGTGAGTCAAGAAAAAGAACGAATATGCCATTATTGTGAGCTAGAAAAAAAGACTCATATGCACGTTTTTTCCTTATGGTATATAGATAGACACAATCACACGCACTGACTCTCTAGAAAAGGCATTTATTGTAGTAATTCAACAAAAGGAGGGGGCAAACACCTCCCCCCCCCCTCAGGTGAAAGTTTTGGGTCGAAAACCACCCTATGACCTCCCCCTGGGCGAAAGGGTATTTCCTGCAAAATTTCATTGCATTTGCTCATACCGTGTCCAAGTGAATAGCGAACAGACAAACATTCTTCTTTATATATATAGATAGATATATATATATATATATGAAAAATGATTATTACTATTATTCGATTTAGATGTCGCATCTAGTTCAAATCCAAATATACCAAATGGAACAGAATGGATCAATTATTCACTTGTAAGTTGAAGAATAAATATTTATAAAGTTTATAGAAAAATAAAAGAATTGTTTTTGTTTTTGTATAGGAATATTCTCAAACAAATAATATCAATCATCCATCATTAGACCCTTCAGCATCATCAAATGGAAGAATAGATGATAATGCTTTTGATACATTTTAAATTCACTATTTTATATTAATTGAAACCGAGTGCGTGTTATCTATTAAGAGAAAATCATATTGTTCTTTTTTTTTATACCGAAACTTATTTTTTTTCTCTCGTTTGACTATTCATGTAGATAAAAAAAAAGAAGAATACGAAATTGTGTGTTGAAAAAAATTTTTTTTTTTTTATTAGAAACTCGCATTCAGACTTTTAATAATGGATATTTCTTTTGTTATTTTTCTTATTTATAAATGCTGAATATTCAAGATGAATTATTCGTTTAATACAAACAGAAATTCAAATAGAAAATCAACAGAAATAACTAATTGTTTAGCATCATGTATATCGAGTCCTGGAGAACAACAACAACAACAACAAGGAAATGATACTGATCTTGAAAGAATAACACCACCAATACCATCACCATCATCATCATCAAAATCAGATTCAAATACATTTATTGGAAAAGATAAACTTCTTGAACAATTTAAACAACAATTAAAACAATTTGAAGAATGGAATCAACGACATGATTGGCTTGCATTTCATCATCATCATTATGATTGGTGGATGTTTCCTAGTGAGTTAGTTAATTTGAGAAAATATCAAAAGATTAAAAGTCTTTATTTTGAATTTTTCGGAGTTCTCTTACTCTCAGGAAACATTTCACTAAAACAGTCATAACACTTCATTGATAGGCTATAGATCCAGATTCTTTTTAAGTTTTTCTTAATCTCATCAAGATCTATTCGTTACCCGAACGGCATTCGATAGTTTGATATGTTAGATGGAAAAAAAATATCCTTAAAATACACTTTTTAAAGTTCATCATCATTTCTTACAAATGGCAAATGTTTTACTGTAAATTTAGCAAAAAAAAGTTAAAGTGCTGCTAAGTAACTTAAAGTAGTTCAAGTACAAACCTTTTGTTTTCTCTACATTGAACATGTAAGCTTGTCAAACAATGCATGTCTACGCACTTACAGAGAATAATTTAAAAGCTAAAAACACTCCTTCCAAACTTTACTAACCTTTTATTTTGACGCGGCTTCCAAACAGTCACGATCCGTACTCATCTTTGTGTACAATGTATGTCTATCGTTAGTTTTGCTAACTTCAATGTCTACGTTAAAAATCAACCAGATAAAAATATTAGTTCTATGAAAGAAGGATATTAACAAAGAAAGCCATACCGATTTGATTTATATATATAATATCAGTAGAATTCTGTAAGTGTTGCGTATATTTCAGTACAAATACGATTGAAAATTTATTTCTCCCAGAATACTGAATACTAATGCACTGTTCGAATCGGTAAAAAATGGCAAAACAGAACACAAACACTTTTTGAGTCAATATTTTGATATTGATTCATTATTGAGCTTGAGATTTTTTTAAAATTCTAATATGAACTGTCGTCATTTTTATAACCATATATGTTTGATAGAAAATATTCTATTGTATCAATGGTAAAACAAATACAATATGTATTTATTTTAGTTGATGAAATCAGTAGTCGAGGTTCGACTTATCAATTACCTGATGCTGTAATAAGTGATCTAAAAAAAAATGAAGAATTTATTCGTGATCTTCGTCGAGGTGTACGTCTAATGGTTCGAAGTTGGGGTTGGGTGTGTTTATTTTTTATTTGTTTTCTTAATTATATTTATTCAATAATAAAATATTTTAATGTCTTATTATTTGTTTTCAAGGATATTGATAAAGGTCAATTATTTGATAAATTAGATGATAAACAAAAATGGTCTTATTGGCCTGTTCGATTGTATAAAGCTGGTAGATCTATGTGGTTATTTGATCAAATAGATTATTATGAATCATTAAAAAAATTAGCATTTCATATTAAAGAAAAAGAAAAACTTGATTTTTTTTCACATACAAAAAATGGTAAAGCTGATGTACTTGAACAGTGGAAAGAAATGGAACAAACGAAACGTTTCTAGTTTTTTGTTTTTATATACAAAAATAAAAAATAAAAAAATAAGTAAATAAATTGATTTTTTTGTTTTTTGTAAAAAATATATAGTCATATAATAAACGAGAGTGTATTGGGAGAAAAAAAAACACTATAATCATCAATGAATTAAAGCATCAAAATAAATTTTACTGGTTCAGAGAACGTCATAGGATGCTTTTCTTCATTCTACTCTGCATTCAGACAACATTATTACGCAATTGTTCAATCTTACAGGACAGAGGACTAGAACTCGTTTGGTCTGGCTCCAAAAACTTTACACCCAAGGGGTTCTACGTAGAATTCTGATGCGTCTGGCCTACCGGTCGATCTTTTCAGTGCATTTTTGATAAGGATAAACAAAGATATAGGATTTAAATGCAACCAATAGAAACAAGTGGACAACAAGGAGGGATAAGTTTTCTATTTATTGCTTTTGATTGAGTTTCTCATATGAACGAATGAATAATATATATTACAGATTTGACTGGTAATAGAAAATCACAATGAATTTCACTAATAGACTAGAACTTCATTGTGTCATGATAAATGAAGTTACTTGGGTGTTCTGCGACGCTCTCTCTCTCTACTGGATTGATTCAGATTAGTTCGAATATTTGCAAGTACTTCATTTATCAGATTTATACGTCAAATTTCAATGAGTTATTAGATAAAATATTTCTTTATTTTTCTATCGATTAGAAGTGTTAGTAGAAAGTATTATAAGCTTGATTGATATCAGAATTTTTATGAGACTCTTAGGTAAGGAGTTATAAGCAAATCTTGAAAGACCTGAAAACAAAGTTTTCGATACTTAATAAAACATCCAGAATAAAGGTAACATTTGTTTTAAATATAACAGTAATAGGGAGGGCACACATTTCTCTATAACAGGATATCTTGATCAACACTTTTCTATAAGACGTCTACCAATGATGAGAGTTTTGGTAAGAGATACAATGATGTGTTCATTTCTAGCTGATACTTGCGAAACTCTCAGTTCTAAAGTAATTGAATCACAGCATGAAATCAATTTCCAGTAGGATATAATTGCATGTTGAAGCCTTTCAAAGATTTACTTCTAACTTCTAACATAAGAGTTTCGGAAAGAGTACAAAGTTCTAATTCTAATTAAGTGTATAATATTTTCTGTTGATCTTCTTATATCGATTGAAAAATGAAGAATCATTTTGTCTAGAAACTTTTGATGCGCCTGTTAATAATAACTTTACGGCTTTGATCATTAAAGTCAATAATTACATGTGATTAAGAAAAACCTACATCTTTTTTTTTTGATTTCTTAGTAATAATTTCAAGACATAACTCGGATATGTTTGTCCTAACAATTATATATGTCAAAATACAGGAAGTTAATCATTTATCAAAGAAAACTGAATTAAAGATGTTTTCGTCTTAAGATAAGACAATATTATTTACAGAGTGTTTTATAAGTTTTGAGGTGACACAAAATTAGTCTATATGAAAAATGTAAAATAATGTCTAAACAAATGTGTCTAGACAAGCTTTTAGTATTCATCTCCATTTTTCAAATAGCTTACTATTGTATGCACATTGTCTCTTGTAATCCTATGTGATGAAAATTAATGATTTTATCGGGTTTTCTTAATATGATTAATTGCGAGCTAAAATCATGCAAAAAAACAATTTTTGCTGATTTCTTCTTGATTTTTATTGAATTTGTTGTAATGAAATCGCTCGAATTGAGACGATTTTCGTGATATGAGTTTTATTAATAATTTCTTTTTTTCATTTTTTATTCAATCTAGTTTCTGGTTATTTAAAACTTGAAAGTTAGTCATTGCATATAGTTTTCATACATTTTCAATGGGTTACACGTCAACAAATTTAGCATTATTCTCTTGCAGAGATATCCAATGCAGCTGAAAATCTGCTTCTACAGCGATCGTATTCAAAAAAATATGTTTCGAAACATATCTGGCGTTCTCTTTATACACTTTGAATTGTTTTATCACCTCAGCAACAACTGATTCAAATAGACTGCTATTATCAATGTACTCTACTATCTTTCGTATAGAAAGCACGAGGAAACTTTTTGTTTTGTATGTACTGATAATACAAGCAAAATTCTATCTTTCCGAATGAACTCATTATTCTTCAATTAATATCATATTAACAAAAATTTGGTAAGAGCCGTTTTGTCATGACATGTGACGATAACAATAATATCTATCTCAAAAAGAAAAAAGAGGAGGTGAGCATTTTTTGAATAACTTAGAGTTGGTATTATTTTTTCAAGATTTTCAATAATCAGGAGGTACATACCAGTCGACAATTGAAGATCTACAAAAGTGTATAAGGCTCATATGTTTAGATATAGTTATTCAGAAGTTATAGATATTATACTAGAAACTCTAAGTCATATTTTCTAGCAATGTCTGTGAAAAAAAACCCAGTTTTTCACTTTCTTATTAAACAAACGTCAGAAAACATTACAGAAAAACCTATTACTTATGATTCGATGTGTCTTAATCTCCTCTTTTCAACGGTGAAAACGGATAGCTCTCTATCTTGTTTCTATAAAAGGTTATTCAAAAAAAAAACAATACTCATCCATCCTTTTTTTCTCTTCAAGATGGATATTAATGTTATCGTCGCATGTCAAAACAAATAGTTCTTATCGAAATTTTACCTATTATGATATTATTTGAAGAATGATGAGAGTTTTACTTGTACTGTCAGTACATACAGAAAGAAAATTTCCTCAAGCTTTCTATACGGTGTTTAAGTATCATCACTATTATTTTTGGATAATTCTATAGTAGATGCATTTAATTAGGGCCTATTGTTTATTTTGCATATAAACAGATATAATCAGCTCTTAAGACTAATGAAATTATCTGTGTGCATATGAAAATCAATTCGATAGTCTAACTGTTAGTTTTTATTTTATTCAAGTGTATATGACTAAGTTCAAGTTAGTATGAACCTGACAGGCTAATATGGTTTATTTTTCTTGTATTTCAACAACTATAATTATTTTTTCTATTCGATCGTAATCAAAACGGAAGAAGATAAAGAAAGAAAAATATTATTGAAAATAGAAAAGGAAACACAAGCCAATTCTCTTAATGGAACCATTTCAAATAATCATAATCTACAAAAAAAAAGAAAAAGAAAACAACGAGAAAACTATTTCTTTTATAATCATTATATAGAATCATATTGATCATTTCTTAAATTATGTTAGATGGTATTATTATTCTTCTATGTCCATTTTTTATTATATCACTTATTTCAATAATATTTGCTTATATTATTGAATATATTCGACGATATATTAATCAACGACGAAAAACACAAAATCAAATTCAATATTTATCTATTATTATTATTAATACTAGTCTTTCATCAAATCAACAAGATTTTCCACCGGCATATGAAACTTTATTTTTTTAAATATATATAATAATAATAATAATAATTTTGATGAAAATCTATAAGCTACTTGATCATATATTAATTAAATTTTAGTCTACATGATTAATATGAAGAAAGATTTTATTCAAATGTTTTATTTTTTTCCATGTTCATTAATTGACGGTGAACTATGAATAGTTGTTTCACCTTCATGTTTTGTACCAGGTCGACCTTCATGTGGATGTGGTAATGGTGCAAGAATTGGTGCAACACCCCAAATTTCACGTGCATATTCAGCTATAGTACGATCACTAGAAAATTTACCTGATCCAGCAATATTTAAAATACATTTCTTTGTCCAACTAATTGGATCCTTAAATAATAAAATCATAAAAAGAATTTTAATTAAAATTAAAACAAAAAAAAAGAAAATTAACTTTAAATGTTTCAGAAACTTTGTCTTGACATTTTATATAACTTTCATAATCAGCTAAAAGCATATAACTAAAACAAAAAACAATATAAGCCAAAAAAATTATTTATAAATTTTGAAATAAACATACTGATCACCATTTTCACTTAATAAACTATTAACAATATCATGAAATAGATCAGGATTTTCAGGTGAAAAATATCCATCTTGAATTTGATCAAGAACTTGTTTAAGTTCAATATTATGTTCATAAAAATATCTTGGATTATATCTACATAAAACAAAATTCAATAAATAATATTAAAGAACAAAAACATAAATTAACTTCTTTGTATTTCTTTTTTTTACCCTGCTCGTTTACGTTGTTCAACTTCTTCAACTGTCATACCAAATATAAAAATATTATCATTACCAACTTCTTCAGCCATTTCAACATTTGCACCATCTAATGTACAAATTGTTAAAGCACCATTTAACATAAATTTCATATTTGATGTTCCACTTGCTTCCATACCAGCAAGTGATATTTGTTCAGATAAATCAGCTGCTGGAATTATTTCTTCAGCCATTGTTACACGATACTAAAAAACAAATTAGATGATACATTTCTAATTTCTTATTAAATTCAATTGTTATTACAATTACAAATAAATGATTTTTCGAACGGTTTTTTTTTTCAATGTTCTCTTTGTTAGAATCTAATTGGATTAATACTTCTAACAAGAGAATCGTTTCAAATGATACGTCGTTTGAAGATTTCAAACTATCCATAGACTTTACTTTCAGAGTTATAGTCATTTTATGCGAATTTTCGGCTATCACAAGGTATGTACCAACAAACCGAATGGATGGTATTTCTACACGGTTGGAAAAAATATTATTCCAGGGGGGTAACGCTATAATTTCAAATAGAAGACATAATGAATTTTATATCAAATGAAAGCTCGTCAAAAATGGGGTTTATTGATACTAAATAGTGAGGCTTGTAAAAACATTCTAATGTCAAACTTAAGAAGTTTTCAGAAATTTTATATTTCTTTGGGGTGGAAAATCAAGGTGCCACTGATTCAAAAATGAAGTCAATTTTTTTTCTTGAATATTTTTACATGGT